GGATCAGATGTGTAAAATAGTTTAATCTACTAACGTCAGTCATAAAAAGTTTTTTAAGTTTTTATAAAATTCGACAAAAATTAGCTCGAGGATACCTACTGATTTAAAGATTTTAAGGTAAATAAGTGGTAACGACGAAAAATTTCAATTCATCTGACTCGTAGAATTTGTCTTTTTCAAGCTTAGTGAGACATCACTTCGAAAACAAAACGGAACTGGTAATTTTGATTTTCGTCTCGTTTATATTATGACCCTAGAATTCAGAGTTTAAGAGAACAACGATGGGCTCTCATTCCGGCTGTCATATTTGCATGATGTAGTAGACGAGGAGGGTTTCAAAGATTAATAATATCCTCGTTTATACAAAGTTAGATCAAGTTAATAATAATCGAGATGACGGTTTTATCAAGTTCACTCAATGAATCCAATTTATTTGAATATGTTAAGTAATATCCACCTGGCAGACCCTGTTTTAATAACTGTTTGAAGACGTTGATGTTTTTAAGGGTGGTTTGGTTTTAAGTTGAATTAAGAGCAATGGTTTGAATTAGTTAAGATTCATGCGATCACCAAGTCCTATTGCCCCAAGCTCTGTTCAGTATAAGGCCAAAGTTATCTTCCCAAGAGCTCATTTCACCGAAATTTCACGCGCTGAATAGATCGTAGATAAACAATAGCAATAATTCCTTTTCATCGAAGCAGTATGAAATGTACCGAGGAACAGATATTTGAATTCAGCCACAAAATCGACGGTTGGTTTTCAAGTTAAAAAGAACGGCGAAAGTCTATCGAACGGCGAATTGTGAACCCCAGAGTCATTGAAACACCGCTACACCTTACCTGACATCCAAACTGTAGCAGCCAGTATTGTCATTATTACCACATGGCTTGCAATTTTCACTGATACGTCTTTGAAAGCCATCACGGCGTTTTGGCGATAAAGCAGTTAAAAAGTGTCGATTTGACCTGGAGAAACAAATTGTTTAGACCTTACTTCAACTTGTTGAAGCTAGATGGGGCTACGTTCTGTCAGTCTGAAGATGTTTTTCTTACAGGCTGCATAATATATTTATTAACGATGCTATTGGTTCTGTCACAGCTTTTGTTTTGGAACATTTATTCTTTCGGGGCACGCAGATGTTTCGTCCTTTGATTTTTTTTAAAATGTTTTTTTCCACCTTTCCTATCTAGTGCCAACATCTCACTCTGGTGAGAGAGGGATGGTGGAGAGGGATATGGGTACTAAATAAACTCCTTCGTAATCTCACTTTACGGCCAAAGAAGGCAGGTGAACAACGAAACAATTTAAATTTCTTAGAACTGTCTCGGAGAGTTTGTGAAGCATTGCAAAATTTTCTAACTTCAGCTGGCACTGGTTGAAAAT